CAATAAACAGGCGCATGTCACCTGAAACACCCACCAGGCAACCAGGCTGGGTACAACACAGGCTCCTAGTGCCCTGCCGAAACGTTTTGGTTCCATTCCGACCACAAGACACTAACCAGTGCAATATAGGTGGTTCCACCTGGCAGATACCATTTCAGCATAGGGAGAATACCCAGGAGTGAAGGGCAACAGCCACATGGAATTTCACAGCACTGAAACGGTAGTGATAACAGAAAGTGTCGACCAAACACACAAGTAATCCGGACAGTGTGTGGCCACTTACACCACCAGTGCAGGCATTACATACACACCCAATCAGGTGGACACTACAAACCTGCAACCAATGATTTCACCACGTCGTTAACACTGTTTGAGGACATACATTATTACAAAGTCAACAGCCGAGCGATACAGTCTGTATCCGCTTTACCCTATCATTTGACTGAGAGGAACATCAGTGCTATGACCTATGGCACATGGGACTCTGCCAATCAGTATTCCTTCATTCCCAGCCATCGGCAATTGCTACTAGGGTTATCTAACCCTTGCAGTTTGACAACTGGATCAGATTAGACCTCTGGTCTTTGTAGTTTGACACGGACAGTGTGGAACAGGTTCCTTTCATGGATTCCAGTACATTTAGGCTGTTGCCAGTAACATCGCGTGAATCATTGCCAAAAAAGCACGATGCCAATAACTACCTTACAGACAGACCAGAGCCAACACAACGCCTAACTTTCTGACCGTCTCTTCAAGACTTGAGGTGGGATTCTCATTTTGTCTTACAACTGTCTCCTTCTCTGAAACAATCTTCTCTACTATTGCCACGTAATGAAGAAGAGAGCTCAATTCCAGGCAATCTTTTTCTGATTTTCACATGAGGAGCTCGGTCATTTTTCAACTTTTTTCCATTTCTTTGGCTGTTCAAGGCATTCCCATCGTCTTGTGTCAATGATAGGCCCTCTGCAAGAATTCGAGTTCAGCCAGTGGTCCCATACCGAATGGTGGATTACATCACAGAAGGTGCTTCTCAGAAACATGCCCAGAATATCAATTGTGATTTCTTTCTTCTCCAGGAAAGAGGGAATATAGAGGGGACTCAAGGGAGGAAAAAAGAATTGGCATGCATCTCGTGACATTATTTTGCAGGCAGAGCAGGGAGCATCCAGTCTTACATGAGATAGACCAGTCTCACAGCAAGAACTCAGGGTCGATGATCATATTTCACAATGACAACCTGAGGAGATGAAAGCAGAGGATCCTCAGGGCCTCCCGGTCACGGCCATTTCACCCAGCGAACACCTAGATTAGAGGACAAGACAGAAGGGAAGAGGAGGAGGAAAAGATGGCCAAAGGCAGAAAGAAGGGGAGGAAGAAGAGACACACAACAAGCACCCGACAACGCGCAAAATGGAATCGCCCAGCTTGTGCACTGCGGAAAGGTTGATCGTCGAGCCGAGCCGTAACGTTCACTCTTCATATAATATCCAGTGTCCCTGGAATAACCCAGTATATATCCCCAATTAGCATTTTGAAGAGAGCACATCATGTAACCCAAAAGAGAACAGGAATAGGAAGCTTAAAATTTAAAAAACAAGCAGCCTGCAAGAAAGCATATGCAAAGTACCGACATTGCTTGAAAAGCACGCACTTGCGGGCTCTCGCCAACACAAACACATGCACACACAGAAAAACACAACAAACACACACACACACAAACACAACACATACCCACACAAACGTAACACCACACAAACACAACACGCACACAAACAAGCACACCAACACCCACATACACACACACACACAAACACACCACCATAAAACATTCATTGACACACACATGCGCGCGCACACGCGCACACACACACACACACACACACACACACACACACACACACACACACACACACACGTGCGGGCTCCCCAACACACACAAACACAATGCACACGGACACAAACAAAAGACACATGCACACAAGCACATGAACACCCACATGCACACACACAAACAACCACCACCATAAAACATGCATAGACATACACACTCACACACACACGCACACACACACACACACACACACACACACACACACACACACACACACACTGAAACGTGCCCGCACAGACACAAAAAAAAAAAAAAAAGTTCACACCACCAACGGCATTTTCCCTTCATGCCAACCATGGATGACACTTCACAATATGCAATTTCAAAATGCATCCTACATTGCACCTAAAAAGGGCTTCAACGGAGCTCTGCACCTGATTTTCAAATCTTGTTCACTTTTCCTCCCACTTCAAGATAAATTGTCTAAGAGAGGTTGTAACTTACTTGTCCACATATATGTGCTTGACAATTCCAAACTTGGAGCACTCCTCACTGACATCTTCTTTAATATCAAGATCAAAATCAGGTTCAGTCTGCAAAAGGATCAACACACAATCACCACGATGGTGCTTTCTCAGTTTTATTGCTTCAAACTGTATACATGGATCGCACTCAAGCTTCACGGCTATGGCTGCAAACAACAACAACGAAAAGCACATCAGCACGTGCCATAATGGCCCACCTCTACGCTGTGAGAGAGAGGCAGAGCAAAGGGTGAGGGAATAACAGAGAGAAAGTATGGACCGAAGACAAATCAAAGGAAGACAAAGGGAAGCTAAGGAAAACCTGGAATTAGGGGAAAGTAAGGAGTGGAATCGAGGTAAGAACATTGGAAAACCAGGAAAAGACAAAAACAAGGCTCAAGAAAGGTCAGCAAAGACATACATTGTAAGGATAAGACGGATAAGGGCACGGAAGACCTAGCTGAGCATTCTGAGTACAACAATTTCCACAACAGCTGGCATTGAGCACATTCGTCAAACACAGCCGACAAATGGGCTGTCAATTGCAGGAAAAGTTGGAAAACATGAATGAAGAATGGGCACCGCAAAACTGTCAATTGCAGGAAAAGTTGGAAAACATGAATGAAGAATGGGCACCGCAAAATCCCATACATCCAGTATAACACCCATGGATCCAAAAACCATGTAATTGTTCTGATTGTGACATACACAATTGCAGCTGCAGCTGAGTGTAACAGTGTTTGTAGTTGCTCAGAGGAAAAGGTCGCAGAGTATTGACACAGTGTCCTGCTGCGGCACAGGGGCCAAGAAATAATCTTCGAGATAAGAGTAAGCACTGATGGTTGGTGTGGCAAGAAACAGCATATATATTGTCACAAATCTATGGACTAAAAGAACACAAAAACAGGGACAAAAATGGGGGATGCGGACACTGGATTAATAATAAGGGGTTAGCGGACCTACATGCAGGACATGCAGAGCTGCGGGGATAAAGGGAAAAGCAAAGGGTGAATAAGAGTAGGGAAGAAGTATAGGAGGTAGGACTAGCAGAGATGCGGAGTATAAACAGGATGCAGAACACATAGGTAGTGTGGGCTGGGAAAGAAGTATAGGAGAGGCTTTAAACTGAGTATGATGATGGAAGGAGACAGGTGGGAGGCCCAGTGACTCGAGGGCTTGGGCTGTGCCCCGAGTCGGCCCCTCCAGGAGATGCATAGCGTGAGGCAGGGTACCGAGCAGAGGTTTCTCAGTCAGTATGCGCAACCCAAGTGGGAATTCTGGCGGGAGGCACAGTGCTGCCCGCCAGTACCGCGTCTAGGGCAAGAGGGGTATGAGGCTGTATCCCTTCCTTCTGCCTATTCTCTCTCTTGTGGAACATGCTTGCCCGTGATAAGAAACCAGGCTCCTGCCCCCCAAAATAAATGGGGCAGTCTGTTCCTAAACCACTAGTACCTCTGACAGTGTTGGGAAAATAGGGAATAAAAAAGAAAGGAGGGCCGCCAGGCAAGGCCGTGAAGGTGGTGTGCTCACATTAGTACTCAAAGGAACGCATCTACCCAGAAACGTAGGTGTTTGCCTTCTGATTTGGTTTTCGTACCCTGCCAACGAGGCAGGGCACATTCCACGGACAGCTGACACTTTGAAATAGAGGGTGCACTCTCACATGTAATCTAGATTCTGCATACAGCTCCTTTCACGTCCAAAGAGTTGTCGCTTTTTTTTGTTGTTCTTATTTTTATTTTCTACTGCCGTGAATACAGCAGTGCTGTAACGCCCATTCGGAGAGTGTACTCTTACATCTACCGCATATTCTGTATCAGCTGTATTCACGTCCAAAGAGTTCTATATTTGTTTTTTTTTCCTTCGTTCATTTTTATTTTGCTACTACCATGATTACAGTGGGGCTGTAACACCCGTTGGGAGGGCACATGTACCCCGGATTCTGCATCCGGCTGCTTTCACGTCCCTAGGGTTGTTGCTTTTTTTCGTTTTCTTCAATTTTCTTTTTTTTCCAATTTCCGAAGACAACCAGAAAAGAAAACACAACGGGACCTAGGCTCAGCAAATTTCGGTGATTGCACAATGGGACCCAGACTCGGCAAATTTCGGCAATGGGACCCAGTCCTCCACACAGATGCATGCAGAAACGATGCAGTTGTAGTGCTTGCGACAGAGACGATGGCGTCTACAGCCGAGCGTAACAGTGTTTGTAATTGTGCAAAAGAGAATGTCGCAGTGTGTTGACGCATTGTCCTCCTGCAGCACGAGGACAGAGGCATGATCTTCGACATAAAAGAGATTGCGGACAGATTGGTGTGGCATGGATCATAACGCCGTTGCCCCACAGCTCCCAGCGCCCATTGACCATGATGCCATTGCCCCATCACTCTTGTAATGGCCAGGTCTACGCACAATGCAGGCAAAGATGTGGTTTGGAGGATTAGACCACTCACCTGCTAGAGCATTGTTGGCAGGCCTTCATTTCTACTTGTACGACAGCAATGGTAGAGCCTCTTGCCGTGGTATAATAACAATCCTCTCGCTGTAGGCCGGGAAGATCCGCATCAAGCTGAAGGGTGTTGGGGAATGTGAAGACAGATACCACAGAGATTGGTGTGGATCTCAGGCTGGTGTGCCGGATGCTGGCCAACAATTTGCAGGTAACTCAGATGGTGTGTTAAGCAAAAATTGTCTTGGGTTGTTTGATGGTGAGTCATTTGCTGATCACCCATGAAATCTGCAGATGCCGGGGCAGTTCAACCAAGCGATGCTGGTCAGCCATTTGCAGATTCCCCATGTGGACGACACTTTGTGGGTTAAACCGCATTCCGGGCAAATCATATTCCAATCTGTCAACATTCGGGGCTGCATCCTGAGCAGGGAATATCCTCGGAATCAAGAGTGCCCCCTGAACGCGTACCGCATCCTGTTGTAGAGGTGAGTCATAAATACCTAAGGCTGAAGGGCGCAAAACATGGCCCCGTAACTATCTGTATGCAGCTGGACAGTCTGCCGGAGGCATAAGAGTGGATATTGCCGTTCGGCACAAAGGAAAACAATAACCTGTAGAGCAGGCACGGAGAGAATCAAGGCATACGAAGAAACAATCTGTTGATCCCTGGACAAGTGACAATGCAGCACCATGAGTAGTGCTGCAGACTAAAGACGAACATGTCTCTGGAAACGAAACATGGGAAAATTGGGAAACGGAGAGTATGTTGGCAAGCAACCGTGCAGGAGATGGGGATGGCCAGGAGGATCGCAGCTGTAACCGCCCGAGCACAGACAGAGATGAGCGGGGAGTGGATTGGACATGATTTCGAAAAAAAGGATGCGAGTGTTGGAGAGACTGTGATGTTCTTCCCGCTGGAGCTGTACCAGTAAAAACTACAGTAGGGGGAATTCCAGCTATGGAAACTGCCATACTGAAAATTGCAGCAGCAGACACCGTAGCAGTGGAAACCGAAGCAATGGGGACACTACAGCAGTGGAAACTGCAGCAGTGGACAGTGCAGAAGTGGAAACTGTAGTAGTAGAACTGCACCAGTGGAAACTGCAGCAGCCAACAGTGCAGGAGTGGAAACTGCGGTAGCACCAGATGGGCAAGCAGGGGCAGCACGAGAGCGTCGTGGGAGAAAAAACACAGGGCCTGCGTAAGCGAGCACTTCTGAAGGCCTGCATTAATTAATCTGATAAATTGTGTCCTCGCACGGGAGTCCTCACACACTCTGGCAACCATGCGAGCCAAAACCCAAGAACATGGATAAACCGGCACTAGATGACCTGTTGCGGCTTCGCTCGCAAAAACAGATATGATGGGTAATGCATTCATGGTGGGGACAACTGGCCGATGCAAAATTTCCATCTTCCGATTCTCCCTTCCTTCCTCCCCTCTATCATCTGCATGGCTCTCTCTCTCTCTCTCTCTCTCTCTCTCTCTCTCTCTCTCTCTCTCTCTCTCTCTCTCTCTCTCTCTC